CAGTGCTTTTATTCCTTATTCTTTCATTTTAAGTGTAGTATTTGATTCTTTCATTTTTACATACATTTCCTTGTAAATATAAATACAGAAACAAGTGGAGAAATAAAAGATATGCAGATATTTTTCCAAACTTCATTTCTCTGTTTCTCTTTCTTCTTTATCTCGAAGCTTCTGAGGTCTGACTCCAATGGAGTCACCATAGCTCGTTGAGCTTCATCATAACAATACTATCAAGGTGATAGCAGAATAACCAAGGTATTTTATAACAGAAAAGTGAGAACAAAGATCAAGAAAGACTAGATTTTAGCAAAATAATTGAGGTGTGTTACTCGTATCTAAGAACAGAGCAACTACAGTACGTACTACTACGAATGTAGGAGTTTAACTCAATAAAAAGATAACGAAGGCAATCACAGCCATGTATCCTACTGGAAACTTTAAGCACAAAGAAAGATTCTGACACTAGATTAATAGTTTGGCATCTTGTGATTGAATCTCTTCCTCTAGGAATTAATAATGGGCGACGAACCTACAAGTTTATAAAGTCGCTGGTGGCAGTTCTTGAAGAAAATTTATTCTGTGGAGGATAATTAGATTAATAATTTTTTTTTTTTTGGATATATTGAAATCTTGCTTCCAAAAATTAAAAGAGATATATACAAATTAACTTATACTCCATTATTTTTGTTTTTTCTTTGCCATCAAATTTGAAAATATTAGTTCAAACATTCCTTTTTTTTTGTTGTCATTTGAAAGCTCCAGGACAGTAATTAATCTCTCAAAATAGTAGTGCTACTGTTTTCTACAAATTAAGTTGTAACTTTGATGACAAATTAAATAGGATATGCTGTATGAAACCAGATGGCCAATCAAAGACGATATGGTACATAGCGCTCCCTACTCCAAGCATTTAAGAGACTGGTAGTTTCAAGATTAAAGCATTAGGTTCTTAGAACAATTCTTCCGTTTGGACATTTATTTAAAGGTGAAGTTAATTTTTATTTTTTTAGAAATTGAAGTTGTGTTTCGATAATCGACCAACAAGTAGTATTGCTTGGGAAAAAACCGAAAGGAATAATCATAACATTGTTACCAATTTATATAGTTAAAATGCTCTTCCATTGTAAAATGGGGCAATGCTACTGCAAATGGAGAAACTTGAGAGTATTTGTCGAGTGCATTGTAGCAACAAATAAACCAACATGATGCTAGGGCGATACTGCCAAGAAGGAGCAATTTTTAATTTATTATGAACTCATATATGGATTCAATAAGTTCTTGTCAATAACCACGTCTAGGAATGCCAAGGCAAGCTCAAATTTGACATCGATCTCAGGCTTGACACATAACGATCGATGTTGACACATGCTTTAAAATGAAAAAATCTAGCTATGGTTGAAAATTCAACGGTGATGAAGCAAGAATTTTCCAGCCTCTTCGCTTGTGTTTGCAACTCCAATTTAATCTTCACAAATAATGGAGGGTTTTACCTGGGAGAAATTCAAAATAGCCATTTATAAGTGATAATTAAAAAATAGCCACAAGTTCAAAAATAATTAAAATTTAGTCACTTTTTATATAAAGATAAATCTGATATTCAAAATTCGAAAAATATTCCAGCATAATATACTGGAATTTCAGTATAATGTACTAGAAGTCAAGTATATTATACTGGAAGTCCAGTATATAATACTGGAACTTCCAATATAATATACTTGACTTCCAACATGATATACCAGAGTTTCAGTATAATATACTAGTCTAGCATAATATGCTAAAAGTTCATAAACAGGTGCTCCAATTTCTAGTATATTATGTTGGAACTTTCCACGTGTTGGAGTTCCAGCATAATATGTTGAAAGTTCATACACAGGTGCACCAAACTCCAGTATATTATGCTGGAACTTTCCGTGTTGCAACAAAATAGTAGCTATTTTTCAATAACTTTGCAAATACTGACTATTTTTCAATTACCAGTCCTAAAACTGGCTAGCCCGTGCTATTTTTACGTTTTACCTCCTAATTATCATAGGGGCATTTGCATCTATATCCGCTTTTTTGTGCCACATTTTAACTTGTGCCCGCTTTGCAAAAAGAATTGCAAACGTGCCCGCTTTTTCGCATAACTTCAGCATACAGGGCTGAAGTAGCAAAGGCAATCACGCAAAACTTCAGCATTCTAGTAGCCGGGCCTGAAGTTCAGCTCTAGAGCTGAAGTTTTTGTTTTGTAAATGGCGAACTTCAGCTCCAGAGCTGATGTTTTTGTTTTGTAACTGGCGAACTTCAGCTCTAGAGCTAATGTTTTTGTTTGTAACTGGCGAACTTCAGCTCTAGAGCTGAAGTTTTTGTTTGTAACTGGCGATCTTCAGCTCTAGAGCTGAAGTTTTTATTTTTGTAACCGGCGAGCTGAAGTTTTTGTTTTGTAACTGGCAAAGTTTAGCTCTAGAGCTAAAGTTTTTGTTTTGTAATTGGCAAACTTTAACTCTAGAGCTGAAGTTTTTGTTTTGTAATTGGCAAACTTTAACTCTAGAGCTGAAGTTTTTATTTTTGTAATGATAATGCAATGTGGAGACAAAATCAAGAATGTGAAGAATAAATCATTTATCTACTTGCACTCGTATTTAGGGATTTGTAAGTTTCTGCAACAGCCATGTTCCTCTCAAGGCAGATCAAAATGTTGTATTAACTATTTTATTGTTTCCTTATAATATTAAATTACAGATATATATTTGCTTGCACTTGCTCATCAGGATTAGACACAGTAGAAACAGAGCTAGAAGTACCCAACATTTTTGTCGATATAAAGCTGTCAAACTGTTACACCACATTAATAATGATATTGTTATCAGTAGAAGGAAAGTTAAAATCTTCAAAAAAACTGAAAAAATTTGAAGGATAATCCTTCGGAGTGGGAAATGGGAACGGAATTTAAAAAGAAGAAGAAGAAAATGAAGTAGGAGAAAGCGGGCTGAAGTTAGTTAAAAAAAGGATACAAGTTAAAAGTTTTTAAANATCGAATTACAACTTTGGAACCGTCCAGGCGGGATTATCGCCGAATTATTATAACGTCTGCCCCTGTTTAACTTTTGGGGAAAAATTGGATTTTTGTTTTGGCGTGACTGAACCCCATAGAGAGGCTGCCTATGTATCCTTTCGGAATCAAGTCAAACATAGTTCAGGAAACTTTAATTTTTTTTAACTAGCACTTCCGGGTTCCAAAGAGGGTAATGAAAGAAAGGTAAACGGCTCAAAGGGTTAGCAAAGGATTTGAGTGTTTGGGTAGCGGGAATGAAAGCCTTCGTCCTCTCAATTGTGCAAAAACATCGTCAGAGCAAGTTCAGGCATAGTATCTTTTTACTGCATCCGCATTCACGGCTGTGCCGGGATCTTTACTTCAATATCACCTAGATATAATGCTCCNCCCCCCACGTTTTACCTTTACTCTTCATTCCCCCATGTTTAGCGTCTGTTTTCTTCTTTACAGAACAAAAGCTACTCACGTTCTTCATTATCCTCCATTTAAATTCATCAAATATTGAAGTTATCATTCTATAAAATTCGTTCATATCTTTAGTCAAGTTGAAGTTAAACCATGAAGAATATCAAATCTCCCAAAAATATACCTAAAAAATCTACAGTATGTGATATCCTCTCTTTCGATTTGGGTGTTTTAACACCAAAATCACCAAAAAAAACAAGTAAAATCTACACATGCAATGGAACCTACTACTCACAGTTCATCTTCTAGACAAATCCGTGCCGAGATGAGAACAAAGCAAATGCACGATGTAGATGCTGGAGGAAGTGCTACACCAGGCGGCAACCAACTCAAAAGAAAGGGGAAAGAGGTATATGTAGATGACGACTTTGCTGAAAATGTCCCTAAAATTCCAACAGTTAAAAAATCCAAGTTGTCTCCTGTTTCCTAAAAAAAAACAAAGAAACAGTCCAAAAAACTCCCAAAATTGGTTCAGAAAAAAAATTTGGTGAAGGTAAACACTTATTATTTTCGTTTCCAAATTTTTAGTTTTGTTTTGGATGTAAAAATCTCTGTTTTAAGTGTTTTGGTAAATTGTAGATTAGTTGTCTTAATTTTGTAGATTATTTGTAGATGTGATTTTCTACAGTTTATAATTGTAGTTATTTTGTAGTCGTTTTGTAGTTATATTGTCGTTAGCTTTTAAATTTTGAAACAGAGCTGTAGTTACTTTTTCTTCCTGCATTTTTGTAGTTAATGTTTATATCTGTAGATGCCTTGTAGTGTTTTGTAGTTATATGTGTGGGTAGGCTGTATTTTTTTGAAGCAGATTTGTATGTATTTTTTCTTCCTGATTTGTTTTTAGCTATTTGTGTAGTGATTGTGTAGTTATATGTAGATTAATGCTTCATTTTTATGCAGTTTACTAATGTGAAATAATTTATCATTTTGTGCAGAATGGACATTATTTTGCCCCACATAATGTGGATTATGGGGTGCTTAGATTCCACACTTTGTGTGATCCTAGCCAGATAAAAGAGTTATTGTCTCCAAATGCTTTAAAGATTTTTAAAAATACTTGTTTTGGTTATTTACTGTCTCTCCCCTCCATTTGCATGCAAAACCAAGCTATTCATTTTATGATTAAAAATGAACTCTCTAAGTCTAATGAATCATTTTTTTCAGTCCACTTGAAGGGAAAAATTGAATTTTTCATTGAGAGAGTTTGGTTTAATTACCGGTTTAAATTGTGTGAATCAGTTTACAGATTATGGATATACTTCTAGTTATGTTAGCAAGTTAATGAATAGCTATTTTCCTAACAAAAAAAGAGTAGAGAAGTGGTATTTGAAAAACATAGTAACAAATAGATCTTGGGTAAACGATGAGGATGCAGTCAAGTTGTGCATTCTTTATCTTTTGGATTTTTTTGTTTGCCCTTATGACAAAGATCATGTGTCTTTTATAGACCACTTAAGGTTCTATTTGATAGAGTCTGGTCATTTTGAGTCATACCTATGGAGTATTAAATCGTTCAATCAGATTATGGAATCCGTTAGGCATCGTCTAAATCCCCATGTACATTCTTATCTCATACGGGGATGCTCATTAGCCTTGCAAGTGTGACTTTATGAGTGTTGCTCGACCGTCAGCATGGAGCTTGCTACGAGGTGTTCTGACTCAATACCTCACATACTAATATGGTCAGCTACTAAGGGGCAGATTTGGTTAACTGCCTTTGAAGAGAAGATGATCAAGCCTGAGTGGATTAAGGTATTTTTTTCAGTTTTGTATGTTGCTACATTTACCTTCATAATATCTACAATTAGTCTACATTTTCTGCCTTAGTGGAACTAACTATTTTTTTTCATCATTCAGTTTACAAGCATGACTGAATCTTGAGAAGAGATTGAAGTGCTTACTCTGCCAAACAAGATTGAGTATGAAGATGAACAAGGTGCACAGTCATCAGAGGTTCCAAATGCTGATTCTCCAATATTGGAACCCAAACATACAGATTGTCAAGAGGACAAAGAATCTGTGGCTAAGAAGCTCAGGAAGCTAAAAAAGGGAATTGAGAAGGTATATTATTAACTACAATATATTTACATATTTTTGCTACAATTTATCTACATTTCATAACAATTTATGTAGTATACATTGTAGTTAAATTGTAGTATAATTCTATAGTCAGCCATGTTGGGATTGCACACATTGTAGTTAAATTGTAGTATAACTGTAGCAATTTGTAGACAATTGTAAAAATAATACTGTGTCGTACATAATTAAACTGATTTGTAATTTATTTGAATAAAATTACCAACTAACTATATTTTTAACTTTTAGGTTGATGGAAAGTTAGAGGATTTTAGGAAGGCTGTATTTGAGGAACTCCATGACCTTCGAGTTTTTATAGATGATTCTGTGAAGAGTGTTTTGAATTTGATAAACAAGAGATATGATGTGGATGAGGCAAAGGTAAGAGTTGACATATATTTATATACCAAAACAAATTATGACATATGAAATAATATACTCAAACTAACATAAAATCTTTAGTTTGCTGGTAGTTCAACCAAAAACAATGACCAACAACAGGGAGTGAACAACCAGTAATTTCAGTTCAATATTGGTGATCAAGTGCATGCAAGCACAAGCAACACAGATATCTACAAAATACCTACAAATATATACATTTAGTATAAAACGTTATAGAGCATAGTTTTATTATTCACATTTTATCTACAACTTCCTACATATATCTACAACTTTCAAGGCAGCATTATCTAGTATTATTTACCTTTTTGTTTAATTATAAATTTAAGCTGCAGTTTGTCTAGAACATGTTCCAGCACATTTTGACTTATATTCAGAATTTCAAGAAACAACTGAGGTAGAACAAGCAGGTATAATATCATACTGTCATTCAAAATAAATAATTGTTGTTTATACAATTTTACATTCTTGTTAAGTAAGTTATGTTTTATGTAACAGATATTGAAGATATCAATGCACAATCCCCAATTCACGGAGTGACTGTAGCAGCTCAGACAGAATAAGTCATTGAGAAATAGCTAAATAAAGGTAAAGATGCACATCATGTGGATGAAGTTGTTTCTGAAGGATCAGGCATTGATAAGAAGGGTGTGACATTGGATGACTTTGAGTTGCCACACAACTTACAATTGGTTAAGTACGACGAGCCCATACCAGATGAAGCAACCCCTATTCATCCGGGGAGAACCAGGCAACCGGGGAAACATGCACGATCACCTTTCATACCTCTATATAGTTCTGGAGGCAGCAACTCTATTGGACCTAAATTTTTCTACCTCAAGCACCCTTTCACAACTCTTATAGGTGAAAATGTAGATTCTGATGTGTTAGATAAGTTCAACAAGTGGTTATACCACCGTAGTGACAAAGTATCTATGAGGTATTAATGCTCAATTTGACACTTTCATTTCAACATTTTAAAGTTTAAATATGTAATTTATTCTGAGATTTTTTTGATTGGACATTTATTTGTTGTTACAAGAGGAAGGCTCCCTTTTCCATAAAGGATAACCAAATCAAGCATTGGTTAGACCTTGGAGTTGAAAAGGTGAATAAGAAGGACTGGTTTTATTCCCTTGCTCACCCCGGACAAGTCCTCAATGACTTGATAAGTATCAAAGAATAAATTCACAAGATATATTTTGTCTTCTGTTTTGTAGTATAATTGTAGTTATATTGTAGATATGAAATATATGTGACCGTGCCTTTTATTATAAATTGTAGATATAATATAGACATTTCTTATAAATGTTGCTCTTATTATTTATAATGTGATTGTATTTTGGTTGGACCTTATGTATCATATTTGATGATGAATTATATGTAAAAATTGTATATTTGGTAATTTGGACAGAATTGGTATATCTGTATTTCATGAATGTAGTTAATTTGTAGTTAAATTGTAGAGCAAGTTGAAGACTTATAATATTAATTGTAGTTTGAATGTAGATATTATTGAGACCTTATAGTAGTTGTTGTGTTCCATGTGTTGCTGTGTATAGCAGCTAAAATGTAGCTATTTGTTAGATTATTTGAATTCTGGCTTTGTAGTTTAAAGTGTAGCTGCTTTGTTGATAATTGTAGTTACACTATAGCTTATAGTAGATTTTCTTTTATTTTGCAGCACATTGATGTTATTATGTATTACCTGAGAAAAAGAGGCAAATATGGCCCCAACAACAACAACACTAGGTTTACAACAACCGATTGTTTGTTCAAGTCAAAGATTGAACAAATCTATGAGAAGTTCATAAGTTCTCCGCCAGAAAAAAAGTATTTGGTTGTTAAACCCGATGATGATGTTGCAGAATATATTCTTGGGTATAGACTTCTTGCTAATGTTGCCTGGTATGAAGTTGACTATGTCATCATGCCCGTGAATATTGTAGAGAATTTTCATTGGTTGTTGGTCGTTTTTTATTTAGCGGACATGCAACTTTATGTGTATGATTCCATGGTGTCTTCACACCATCATAATGCTGTTGAATCATGTATTGATAAGTTTTCAATCATTGTCCCTCTATATTTGTCTTGCACTGATTTCTACGGGAAGCGTAAAGACATTGACTTCAAGACCACAAAGGCATACATTGAGAAACCAGTTACAAGACCCTCTCAACATACAGTGGATGGTTGTGGAGATTCCATAGCAAAAGGAAGGATCACTGTAAAAAAAACTATTCTCTCTTTCTAGATGTTTAATTATTTTTTCTTATAATCATTTGTTAAATAATTAAATTATTTTGCCTTATGCAGTGATTGTGGTGTATTTGTGGCTGCTTTTATGGAGTATGTTAGCCTTGGAGATTTGTCAATCCCTTCAGAAGACCTTTCGGATATCGACCAACACCGTAGACGCTATGGAGCTCTATTATGGAACTATGCTACAAAGAAGCAAGAAGATGGGTCAATCAGTGAAAGTGAGGTTACATGCAGGCTAGCAAGGAGGAAGGGTGCTCCTGCTTTGAATGAGAAGACTAGAGTCCGGAGAAAGAAAAAATAGTGTCCTGTTTTCCTAGTTTAGTTGATGTCAATTTGTAGTTGAAGGAGAATACACTACTTTATGAACAAAATTTTAAGTTTTTTATTGCAGCATACCTTTTTATTTTGTTATTTTATCTTTCATTATTAGTTGTTCACTTGAATATAAATTGGTTGTTTACAACACTATATCTTCATTATATTAAACATGAGTATTTTGATGTTAGAATATAATTTGCCTACAAATAATCTTCACAATATCTACATTTTGGAAACACTCAATGTAGATATTGTATATAATTTTGTAGTTGTATATGCTCATAATTTTTATGAAATACCTTCAAGTTGTAGGTAATGTCTGTATATAACTGTCAGTTGAAGTTAAATTACACAATAAACAGAAGAAATAAATACTCCAATCATAGAAATATATTATCCACAATTTATCTACAAATCATCTACAAATTATTACCAAGACTACAATTTAACTACTTTTAACCTATATTTTACCTACAATCTGAAAACACTTTACATTAAAGTTACTTTTTTAATATCAGTTGTATTGTAGATAATAAATATTAAAATTTAATTACACTATATCAAAGACAAATTTAGATGCATGACACAATACATAAAAGAATATTAAACACACATAAATAAATTGTAGTCTATTTCATAATGATCTTTAAAAACTTAAACGATTACACAAAAAATCTGCTAACTTTAACTCACTAACAATTAGTTTGAATAACTATTCTAACTACATGATATTAATTTCTTCTTGGGCGCATTCTTGCAAGATCTTTTGTTATGCCCTTCACCTCCATAATTTCCACATGACACCTTGTACTTCTTTGACTTTATTGCATCATATGTTTTATATCTTTCCTTTTGAGGTCTCCCTGGCTGCCTTTTATCTCCCGTCGGTGGATGAAGAGGATTTACTGGTATTTCATACGTACGCAGAAGGCTCTCCCTTGTGTAATACGGAGAGCAATGGTTTTCATATGTTTCATTCATGTGCCTTAATGCTGCCAAAGCATGCACACATGGAAGTTCTTCAAGTTAGAATTGGCCACAACTACATTTTTTGTTTTCTAGACACACAATGTACCGCTTCACACCATGTAACACAGTATGTATATGATCTGTTGAAGCCCTCACCTACAATTACAGAACAAACAGAAAAAATATTATCTCAATCATAAAAATAGATTATCTACAACTTATCTACAAATTATCTATAAATATTCTACACCTTTTCTACAACCTACAATTATCTACAATTTGACTACAATTTATCTACAATCTGGAAACACTGCATATTAAGTAATTTATTTTTTCTGCACCAAATAAACAGATCTTACTATAAGCTTCTGAGATAATGTTCTGTTGTTCTCTAATTCTTTGTTGAATTTGGACCCAAGAAATGTGAAAGTATCCTTCGCCTTCAATAACTTCTCGTTGGTCTAACGTTCTAGCAGTGTCCGTATATACTCTAAAAGGTCAAATATCGACAACTCTCTTGCATATTTGGTTACAGCGTTCAACGACTCTGCAATATTTGATGTCATTGTCCACGTTCTATTCACTGTTGCATGTACTCTTAACCATATATGATAGCCAATATCATACAGGTAAGATTTCACACGCGGGTCTACCTCTTCAATCTTCGACATTCTTTCATTAAATTCATCCAGAGTGTATGACCGTGTTGTAGCAAAGTACAATTCATGTAATTGTAGATGACCTTTCTTGAATTTTGACCTTATATTTGTCCAAATATGCCACATGCAAGAGTAGTGTGGCATGGCCGGATAGAAAATTGATGTTGCCTTTAGTATACTCTCATTCCTATCTGAAACAACACACATTGAAGGTCTTTCACCATATGCCTGCTTGAATTGCTCAAAGAACCACTTCCAAGATGCGTCGTTTTCAGAATCAACCACAACATATGTCAAGGGCAAGATTGTACCTACATCATTAATTCATAAAATATTAATTGGCAGCTTTGAACATGTATATAAAAATATAAATACATAACAACTACAATATATCTTTATAATATAGACAATTTATCTACATTTTATGTAATAGCTAAAAATAACTACAAAATTACTACAATGTATCTACATTTTATAGACTGCCTACAAAATAACTGCAAATTTTTTACACTTTTTACCTACTTCATGCATGGTGCTTGCTGTCAGTATAATCCCCCTGTAGGCTGACTTTAAGAATGTCTCATCAACCACTACTACTGGCCTACAATGTTGCCAACCACTTATTGATGTACAAAGAGCAACAAATGCGTATAAGAAGCATTCATCTGCTGTCTTCTTTAATTTAACAACTGAACCAGGATAAGTCTCCTCAAGAATATAAAAATATTTGGGTAATTTGCTGTAGGAGTCAGCCGAATTCCCTCTCAAAAACCGTAAAGCCTTTTCCTTTGCTCTCCATACTTGCATGTAGCTTAGGTTCACTCCGTGTTCGGATAACATGTCAGTTTGTATGTCCTTTGGTGTGTAAACAGTCTTTGGATCACAATACTTTGGAATGACCATGCTACCAACTACAGCTGCAGTATGGTTCCGTTGTATGAATGTTTCGTCTATTAAGGAGCATGTGTGTTGTCGGTTGAAACTCCTTATCTTGAATATTGCGTATTCATTAATTGACATTGCTTTGAAGTGCCATTTACAGTTTTCACCAACGCATACAAGCCAATAGCTACAAAAAATACAATATTTAATATAGATTATAAATGTAGATGCAACAAAAGGACTGTTTTAACATAAAGTAACATAAACTACAATTTAACTACAATTTATCTACAATGTTTAAAAAACACATATCTTGAGTAAAACACTGCTTTTAATGATCTTTTCTCCACAAATATCTCCATACCTTCTATTACTAGATCTTTTAACTCTGAACTGGAACTTGTGCATCACAGAAAAGTGCTTCATTCCAGCAGCTACAGTTTGCTTGTCCTGATACACTTGTCCTTCTTCAATAGCAGTTTGCGTAGATTCTATTATTATTTCACTTTTATATTCCTCTATAGCTGGAGAGCATGGCATATCAAGTAACTTTAGGGATCCAGACGAACCTGCATCAAAATAAAGATAAACAGTGTCATTATAATTTTGTAGAATCTTTGTAGATAATTTGTAGATACAGTGAAAATTTTGTATTCATCCATTTTAGGATGTCAGACATTGTAGTAAAATTGTACTATAACTGTTGCAATTTGTAGAAATTTGTGAAAACAATACTGCTTCGTACATAATTAAACTGATTTGTATTTTATTTGACTAGATTTTGTTCTAAACATAGATTATAGTTTTATTTGAAGACAACATTTTGAAATCAACAATTTCTAATCATAGATTGTAGTTTATTTTGTCGTATAAATGTAGTAACTTTGTAGATAATTTTGAAAATAACATTGCTTTATTCTTTCATTAAACTGATTTGTAGTTTAATTGTAGGTAAATGTAGTAATTTTGTAGATAATACCGTAAAACCATAATTCTATGCAATTTCGAACTATACAAACCTGCACTTGTGTTATCGTTGGTGATTGTCAATTCCATATTGAAATCTCGTACACTTATACATAACAGATATGAACCTAAGTTTTTATTCTCCTTTTTGGTCTCCATATACACACGAACCCCCATATCATTCCTAATCTCCATTGGGGGCAATTATCATTCACCATGTATTTGATTTCTATAATTTTTCTGAAGTATCAATCGATAGTTGTTCTGCAATTGTAGAAATCAGAATAATGTAGCTTACATTCTCATCTACCACAATGGCATCAACTTCAAAATCTCTAAATCTGCCATAGTTATCCCAATTCTCATTCAATTGTAGCATGATTGCGATTTTGGACATGATTGCGTGTTGTTGCTGATGTATTATTCTAAATTTTTTCGTTTATTTGGATTTCTAGATTGAGAAAAAAAAAGATGAAGAACAGATATATGATCGCCAATTTGATTTCTGAAAATGACGAAGAACAGAATATAGCAATGTTGAGTTGTTGAATCTCGAAGATTTGAATTCTACAATTTGAATTGTTGAAGCTATTCGTAGTTTGTTGAAACTGTTCATACTTTTTTTTAAAATTTTTGAATTGTAGTTTAAGAGTAAATTACGCATATGCGAAATCTCTCCTTTCCGTTTCAAAACTTGAATTTAATGTAGAATCAATCAATCCCAAGATTCTTTCCTGATTTTTCGCGTGTTATTAAGGGAAGATTCTGCCCTATTAATTCCTAATAAACGAATGGTACAGAAATTGTAGGAAAAATGTGGATTAGGCAGGTAATTTAGATACTATGCACATATTTGGTAATAAAATTTTATATATGGTATACGAAGGAAAAAATCCCTAAAAAAATGGGTATAGGTTAAATGGGCTGTGCAATTTTTACATTATCATATTGTGAATGTTTTCCTTTATGGCCCTTTGGCAATTATTGTCATAGTACGCGGCACATAATGTCATTGTTAATCCATTTTCATCGACCAAAAAAAAATATCATTGTCGGTTCTATTACCTATAATAAATATAAATGTTATTTTTTACTTTAATTTAACAGCTGGTATGGTTCGTATGGAGTAAATATTTCACCACCTACCACCACTCGTACTCATCTTCTGCACACATTATGCGGTTAGGTCTTTATTTATTTAGTGTGATTATATATTGGTATGTTTGAGCAATGTTATCAACTACTCTGCCATAGACGTCAATATATTATCATATATCGTGACTTCCGATGCAGAGTTCGCTTACTTAATAACTTTTGTTAGATTCAATATTTGTCTAGTGAAATTCATAGAATATATTTTAATTATTAATTTAGAATACAATAACTTAAAAAAACTAAAATTTCAAATTCATAAGTTTTAAATCCTCTCTCAAAACTTAGCACCGCTATTATCATTCAATATTAACATGTTCAATAGCTTTCTGGCTATCTTCTTACACTCCTTACTTTTCAGGTGATATCACTTGACCTTATGGACAGTTATTTCTGATAACACTGTATTGAGAAAAATTAAGTTCATATATGGAAGTTATTATAAGATGACACGTCATGACATGTAGACCAGTTAAAGGAGAATAGGTGGCAAAAAATAATCAAAGAGACACGAGCTTCAACAGACACGGGCAAATATTCAGAAAGATAGACGCTCGAATCTCTTTATGATTAAAGAGAATGAATTTGATAGTAAATGAGGTTTAGATACGTATTATTGGGCATTAAATACGAAAAACGTTAAGAAATATGTAATGAATCAAATATGATTACCAATTATAATGTTACATTAAAGGTCATTAAATGTCATTAATTGTCAATAATAACTCGTTATGGTAGAAACAAAATGTATTACCTAGAGATAACTATAAAAGCAGAAGACTGATCATTTGTAAGGACACGAAATACTATTGAAATATATTGATTTACTTTGCATTATATTCAGCTACTATTTATCAATTATTCTTATTTCTATTTGATTATCAGTAACCCGAGTTCTTCTAAAATAAGATTTGACCGAAATCCCAATTTTTGGTAAAATAAATTGGTTCGGTTACCGGGAATCTGATAATCGTTTGCTTTCTTAATCAATTCTTTCATCAAAAAACTTACCATGTCAAATAACAACGACAACAACCAACAAGATCCTTAAAATCAGGAGAATGATACGGGTGACAGGACCCCACTTCCCTCACCGTGTAATTCACAACGTTAGTCACGAGAAGGAACTCCATATGTCTCTAAAACAAACAACGGGATTGCGAACCAAAACGGATTTGAGGCAAATCAAAATACTGGAGTTGCGAATGAACAAGCACTCGATGATGCTATGAAGAATCTAATTGCTCAACAAGTCAGTAACGTTCTCCGAACTTTTATCACCCAGTTGCCAGTTGCGTCACCAACACCAACTCCGAATCAGAATACTTTGCAAAACCAAATTCTGGGCTCGTTAATTCAGGCACTGGTGGAACTCCCAGCGAGTCTCGTGATGGAGAACCAGGTAACATAGTTAATTCTGATTTGCAAAATTTAGTTCTAACCTTGCAGAAGCAGCTCAAGGAGCAAAGCGATCGCATAGAGCAAATACCGGGAGTACCACCTGTAATCAAAGGAATAGATATGGATAAATACTCACAACAACTATGGAAGCCTAGTGCTGCTCAGTTGACGATCCCGAAGAAGTTCAAGATGCCTGATATTCCAAAGTATGATGGCACAACTAATCCACGAGACCACGTGACTGCATTCACAACTGGTGTAAAATGCAACGATTTAACCAAATAGGAAATTGAGTCAGTATTGGTCAAGAAATTCGGTGAAACACTCACCAAGGGAGCATTAACATGGTATTCTCTCTTACCCGAAAATTCAATAAATTTTTTTTCTGAGCTTTCATATTCATTTATCAAAGCACATTCGGGGGTTCAAAAAGTTGAAAAAAGAATGGAAGACATTTTCAAAATCAAGCAAGGAGATTCAGAGTTGCTTAGAGAGTTCGTGGATAGGTTCCAACATGAAAGAATGATGTTACCACGCGTACCTGATAACTGGGCAGCTATGGCTTTTGCCAGTAATTTGAATGAGAAAATCTCAAAAGCCACGAGACGACTCAAATAAAGTCTGCGGGAATTTCCAGCAACAACCTGAAATGATGTTTACAACAGATACAACATGAAGCTAATGATAGAAGAATATACTATCTCCCGATCTCAGAAAGAGGAGAAGGTGAATTCGAGACGAGCAGAAACCGAAAAAAGGTCCGATAAAAATAGATATGACCCATACATGGGCCCAGCAGGAAAAGACTCACGATCAAAGTAGGATAATTCAAGGTTTGATCATAGATTGAGGAATAGAGAGTCAGGTTCATCATCTAGATTTGGAAACGATCGAAACACGCGAGAGACGCGAGATGATGATAGGAAATTGAAGGCAAGATTTGGCGGTTATAGTTTTAATGTAAGCACTTCAGAGATAGTGGACGTATTAAGAAGCATGGGTGATAAGGTGCGGTGGCCAAAAAAATGAGGTCAAATCCGAACAGGCGCAATCCTGATCACTCGTGTGAATTTCACAACGATCATGGTCATAAAACGGCAGATTGTAGATTGTTGCAAGGTGAAGTTGACCATCTATTAAAGCAAGGGTATCTTACTGAATTATTTAGTGAAAAAGGTAAGCAAGCATACATGAAGAACATGCAAGAGCCCCTTAAACCTCCTTCTCCGAAAAGGACCATTAATGTTATAAGTGGGGGCGAGGAAATCAACGGTGTGACATATACGGCGGCCAATAAAGTTTTTAAAGTTACAATTACCCAACGGGAAGCGGGTCCGACATGTCTTGGAGGAAGAAATTATTACATTTGATGATGCAGATGGGGACGACATATTAACTCCTCACAACGATGCACTAGTAATCTCTCTACTTGTACATGATACTAATGTGAAATGAGTTTTAATTGAACCAGGTAGTTCCGTGAACCTTATTTTGCTAAGAGTACTAAACGAGATGCAAGCTGAAGATAAGCTAGTACCTAAGGCACATACTTTGTCTGGATTCGACAATTCAAGCGTTGTGACAAAAGGTGAGGTAACACTTACAACCTTCGTAGAAGGGGTTGTCAAAATTTCAGGTTGTGGAGATGGAAATGGCTTACAATATGATTCTCGAGAGACCTTGGATTCACGAGATGGATGTTGTTCCATCTACCTTACATCAAGTTGTTAAATTCCCATCACCATGGGGAATACGTCAAATATGTGGGGATTAACAGACTTCCAGGAGCATCAATTTTGTAGCAGATTGAAGTACGAAAAACGAAGAAAAGTAGCAATTACAGAATCCAGTTGAGGATACCACGACACAAGCCTCAACTGAACAAGGACGAACAGATGTAGACTCAAGGCCCGATTCCATTCAAGAACCAGAAGAAAATGAAAATATCAAAACAACAATTGAAGAACTAGAGGCTGTAGAGTTATTTGCACAATGGCCTGAAAGGAAATTATACATTGGGGCCAACTTAAGCCACGACACGACATGTAAGTTGATTAAATTTTTAAAAACTAACGTGGATTGTTTTGCCTGGTCCCATTTTGATATGACAGGAATACCCCTGGAAGTAATGACTCACAAGTTTAATGAAGATCCATCGTATCCGCCTGTCAAGCAAAAGAAGAGAAAGCAGGGGACTTTCAAAAATCAGGTGATTCAAGATGAGGTGCAAAAACTATTAAAAATTGGACCTATCCGAGAGGTAAAGTATCCTGATTGGTTAGCCAATACTGTAGTGGTACCAAAAAAATGGCAAATGGCGAGTTTATGTAGATTACAACGACCTTAACAAAGCATGTCCTAAAGATTCTTTTCCATTACCACACATAGATCAACTGATTGATGCTACTGCAGGACATGAATTGTTAAGCTTTTTAGATGCGTATTCAGGGTACAATCAGATCAAAATAGATCCCCTAGATAAAGAAAAAACTTCATTTATAACAGACAGGGGGACTTATTGTTATAAATGATGCTCT